TCGGTACATCCTTCAGAAGCCTCCAGAGGGGTTCCGCTGGGAAATCTTGTTGGCCGCAGTGTTCTGTCATGATTGGTTCTCAAGGAGATCCCCAATTTTGCAGAACACCACTGGGGCGGAAACAGGAGGAAGGTTAAGCAGAGTTTATTTGCACAAGCATACAGAAAGCACTGGTTCAGGTTTGGGCCTGGACTCGGGTTCACCGGAGTCTTGAGGGTTCTCGAGGTTCTCTTTGGGGGAGTCACTGTTGGTTCTGGAGGAGAGTTTTTTCAGCAGAGTCCGTTTGCTGCTTCAGCGTCTCACGTCTAGCTTGAACAGACCTTGGCTTGGCTTTCCCAGCTCTAGTCCAGAGCTGCTTGGAGGTTCTCAGAGAATCTTCAGGGTTTGGCTCTGAGGGATGCCTCGGCAGGTTAGCTCTTCCTGAGCTTTCACAGAGGAGGCACGGGTTTCCTGGAAACACAGAGACAGTGGTTAGAATCCAACCTGGATTCAAAGTCATGGAGATACAACAAAGATCTAGGCTTTAGCGCTGACCAACTGGAACAACACTGCGGCGTTGAGGCAAGATCTGAAGGCAGCTTAAGTAGTGGATCCTCTGATGATTTAGATGAGCTGCAGCTGTGCAGGAGGCTCCCTCAGAGGATCCACAGCGGACTCTGCTGGAGAAAGATGGGATTTTCTCCAGCTCCCAACACATGTTAAGCATTTAGAAGTAATATTTTGTGTATTTCTAAGGTAGGGTTCAGATTTTTAGATGCTTTTGTTTAATCTGGTCTGACTTAAATTATCTCATTAGAAAGTTTCATTCCTAAATAAGAATGCAGTATCCTAGACTAGAGGTTGGCTTTTTGAGTGTAATAATTGAAATAATCAGTTTATTTCAAAGTTAATTTAAACTAAAGAAACAAAACACAGTCTGAAAATGTTAAATTATTTTAGATCAAATAGACACATCAAGATGTGTCTATTTGATCTTGAATAGACACATGGTCGTAAGAACCAAGCTCAGCACAGTACCTGATGCAAGCTCAGTCCGAACTCGGCACGGATCGGTTTCAGAAGGGTAGTTTAAATGGGGCAATAAATAATGAAGTTATCATAAAAACCAAGGAAGAAGGCAGATAGGGGATATGGGAAGTCATGAGAAGGTTTAAAGCAGTGTTAGCTCACAAACACAAGCATAATGCCTGAGCAACAACAGAGGGATGAGGACTAGAGCTTTTTTCAGCATTAGAATGAAACAATGGGGATGTTCAGAGGGGTATAAATACTTTTGCAGGACAATAAAGGAAAAATTAACAAAAAAAAATGGTAAACTTTTAAAAACATTATGTTGTAAAAGCTTTGGCACAGCAATGGTGGTCTTAGTTTAAACATGTTATCTAAGTTTACTCCCATCTCTCACAAACGTAGGGCTTACTCATCATACATAAACCATCCAAAATAGGCTTTCTCCTTCCTAATCTCTATTTCCAGGATTAGTGTATGTCATTGTTTATTATTAGACCAAAACCACTTCCTGTCTCTCTTTTTTGAGTAGATTGTGAAGCAATGGTTGGGAGGCTTTGGTGATAAAGAGAGAGGGAACCTGGGAAAGATTTTTTAAATGTGTTTGTGTTGAGTGTATACAATGGAAAAGTGCTTGCATTTGTAAGAGGTTTTAATCGATCTGGCTGATCTACTTAGCCAGTGACTGGCACATCAAAATGAAAAAAATAAATAAAAGAGGAAGCTGGTGCAGGAGCACTTAGCCCTTATCCAATCAGGTAGGAGAAAACAAAAGTCCCTTCCACAGTGTCCTTCCCACCCTCATAGGCCTCTCAGAGGCTCCGGTTACATCAGCACATAATCTAGAAGGCGAATGTTCCCAGACAGCCGTGCAAAACAACCCTGAGACATGCAAGATTTGCATATGCGCCTTTTGGTAATTATACCAGTTGCCATAGAAATAAGAGGACTAAAGAGGTCTTTAAAGTCGATAGATAAGGTCACACTGATTTTGCAATTCTATAATCTATGACTGTGGATTTTTTCCTTTAGGACAAATAGATGAAGGTGTCATTTAATGAAAAATAATAATAAGAAGCTCATAATCACACGGTAAATTAAATGAACTACATACTGTATTTCTTCTCTTTTTTTTTTTTTTTTGCTTTTTTGGTGAATAATTAATTGCATTATAAAGTCATACAAGGATGACTTTGGTTAATACAGAATGTGTTTTTCAAAATTCTCTCAAGGGAAATAAAAAAAGATTGTTCAAACCACACAAACTTGGCTCTTTGTGAAAAGTATATAACCCCTATACATAATTACCACAGATGGTATTTATAGTACAAAATTATTCTCTTACATCGCTGAAATCATAGCTGACTTTTTTTCTGCAAAACTGTTTTAATTGGAGGATTTTCAAGCTTAACCAGATTGTTTACCATCAGGTGGTGTGTAGTGAGAATCTGGACATTCCTAACTCAAACTGTTTTCAGCATAAAACATAGCCAGTCTTCATCAGGATATTTTGAGGGCAGCCTTGCAGCTCATATATGTAATAACTTTGATTGTCTCTCCAAAGGATTTGGTATGTGTGTAAGAGCTGCAGGCTTAAAGTAAGCACAGGACTACTTATGCAGATAGGCTACTTCTGTTTAAACACCTTTAAACAGATTTGTCTATTGGTCTTTGAGTTGGTCTCCTACCTAATTACTTCCAGAGATTCAGTCCGACGGAAATATGAGTGACTGTTGTATATGGGTTGTCTGCATGTTATCCATATAGTGATATCTATACCTCAGATCAGCCTTTTCGACACTGCCGTTGCAAATTTTGGCTACCTTTATGATGTGCAAAGTATCATCACTTTATTCTGTAGTGGCTTACACTGCACTTACTAAATTAAGATTTATTTATACAAATAATTTGGGCCACAATATTTTCTCCTTCCTGCTTAGGGTCCTGGTTAGGCTTATGGTAGAGATGGTATTCATTTAAACATTTAAAAAAGTTTTCAAGTACATTGATGTATAAATAATCAGCATTTGGTACTATGGCGGACTGGGCCACTCGAGGGTCGGGCTCCGGGTGCTCTCATCTGCCCTTCTCTGGTGGGTGTTGCCATCCCTATGTCTGCAGTCCTTGTGTTACATTGATCTGGGGTTCCTCTGGATATCTGGGGCCAAGATCCTAGGCCCTGTAGGGCAAGTCTGGGGCCACACACACCTGCTATTAAACATATTTTCCTTCTGTAGAACCTTGGTAAATCCTTTATAAACAAACATGCCCATGCATACATACCATGGGAGTTTGGTTCTAGGGGTTTACAGATATACAGTATTATCATACTAAATACTGAGTTGCAGCTACAGATATATACCACTCTGAATAATATTGTGTAATATCCATAGGTGTTGCCTTCCACACACGGATATCTAGGCAATACCTGCTGCTCAGGAAGCCTTTTTTGTTTACTTTGGTTGTCTGTTGTTTTCTTTTTGTTGTTATGTTCCCTGTTTTCTACCCCCCTCATCTCATACAGGCGTAGAATGATATTGGCAAAACAGGACTCACAAACAAAAATCCCAACAAAATAAACAGCATTCACTTGAATTAACCTCTTGAATTTATAAATGAGTATCATTTATATAGCCCTGCGTGTGTCAGAGGGTACGCTAAAACAAAGCTGGGGGAAATCAATGGCAGGCTCTTGTAGATTGAAACCTATTCAAAGGGTGTAACCTATTGGATCAGTCACAGCTGCATTGTGATCAAGCACTTACATTGATCATCAACCCTTAAACTACCATCTGATTGGTGCCACCTATTGAGTGATTGAATGGCAAAACCTGAAAATCGTCTTGATTTCTTTGTATTTTATGGCCAAGAAAACACTTTATTTGAAAAGTTCTGCTGGTAGAACAAGAAAGTTAAAGATGTTTATTTATTTAATGCATGAAGAACTAATGGCCAGACATCTTGCCTTGGGAAGTAGAAAGCAAACCTTATTTTAACAACATCACAGTTCCTTAAGCAGAAAACCAGCCTAGACACTAGCACTACCATCACCATACTTGTCAAGAAAACTCACCACTGTTCCTGAAAAAACAGATTAATAGAGACCCTATAAGAATGATAGGATTCGGGGACTATTTCACATCAGTTCTTAAGTGTTTTTTTTTCTTCATATATGCAGATCATGATGTCAATTAAAAGAATTTCTACATCTTTAGCTTTTATCAAAGCTGGGAATATGAATTAAATGTAATGCAAAAAATATGAAGATAGTAAATCAACCTGAAGAGCAACTTCATATAGCTTAACTCTCTCACTCTAGCAAAAAGGCATTGTTTTTTTTCTAAAAATTAAATAAAGTACCAGTAGTCTGTTGAAAACTGTATTGTTTGATTATCCAATACATTTACAGTAGAAGCAAGATAAAGCAGCAGAAACAGTAAATGGTAAACCTTTTTTAGGGCAAACTGTTTTTGTGTTTTTTTAACAGCACTGCAATCATGAGGAACTATAACTGATCTCTAATTGTATATATTGCAAATAAAGTAAATAACTTTTAGGAAAAACACATATATAGCGTTTTCATTTGGTGCCTGAGTTGCAAAGACAAGCTGTTATCCAAATGTCATCATCATCAAGCAGTTGTCTAATGCCTTCTGGCAAACAGTCACACCAAAACTAAGCTGGAGTAATTACCCAGATACAGTCATTTATGTCTAATAGGAAGCATGATTTATGTTGTATTATGTAGCTGTTTACAGATTTCTAAAAGGTACCCATGTCTTATCCAGTTGTGGTGCATGCTCCAGAAACGGACTACAAAAAAATGTTTAACCTAAAAGATCGTCATCCTGTTGGAAAAAGTTGTTTTGAAGTTCTGTCAGTTCTACTCTTGTTTGAAGGAGTTTGGCAGAAAATTACAATTGTAGAAGCATGATTTAGTAAATTAAAGTTGTATTCTTTGAAACGTTAGTTAGCAGAAAGAATTCTCATACCTCTGGAATTCCCGGTCGATCGAGCCAGTCAGCGTAAATAGCTCTGAGGGTGAGGCCCTTTCTGAAACACAATGGCACAAGTGTTAGTTTATTCCTATTATTACAGCGATGATTATTATTGCCCAAGAAACCCCTTTAAAAACACATTTCTGGGAAAAGGGTCCTGGCAAGCTTAAGTTTAGGCCAACACTGTCAACAAAAGAAAGAAAAATAGAGGCACACCCACCCTCCTAAACAAGATAGATTAAACAGGCATGTACAGACAATGAATTGGATTTAGACGCATTCATGCAAACATTTGTATGGAAAAGTGTAGCTATGTCTACATAAAAAGTGTATGTTCTGGGTATGGAAATTGTCCCATGCCTCAGACAGAACCACCACAGTGACCCAAACGACATGCAAAGACAAATGTGTGTGCAAACAAACATTCCACAAGCAGTCAGCAGTGAGTATGCAAACTGTAAAGCACACATGGAGTGGAAGACTAACCATACTGCATACCCTTCACCACACTATAAATCACCCTGGCTGCTTTTTTAAAAAAAGAAAAAAACTTCTCAGCTCTTGCCCTGATGAATTTGCTGTGTACCATGAGATTCAGTCCATTAAAGAGTTTTTTTTTTTTTTACATTTGCCAAATATAGTCTAATATTACCTCTTTCCAAAGGAATACATGTCCATAAGATACAGAATAATCCTTTTCTTGTTTGACTTTCTAGTTAGGTTTCTTGAGAATCCAAGCCTCCCAGTTTAACCTGAAACTGTAGAAAGGCTGGTTTTGCTGTACATCCATGACTTTAAGTAAAAGGTTAATATCAGTATGCAACACAAATAAATGTCAGTGAGGGCTGTAAATATGTTTAGCCGGAGAGTGGGGGCCAACAGTTAAGACAGACAACACGAAATATCACAGTTAGTATTGTAAAATAATTTTTAGCAAACAGGGATTTAATAAGAACAAGGCTTAATGCTGCGTTCACACCGGGGGCAGCTGGCGCGACAGAAGCAGCGAGTTTACATGCAAAGTCAATGGTTGACGCGCGTCAAGGCGCAGCAAAAAGTCCCGCGGCGCGTTTAGAGCAGCAAGCGCAGCGCGTCTGAGCAGCTGAAGCAGCGCGTCGGGCGCGTTTTGGCATCTGACGCGCGTGACGCGCCGCAAACGCGTTGCTGCTCGAGATGGAAAAATTTAATTTTTGCTGCTCGACGCGCCGCGTCAACCAATCAGAGAAGCTGATCTGGGAGCTGGCTGGGAGAGAGACACAGCGCTGATGACACAGACTGCTCTGATCACTTCTCTTAAACAGTTTATTAAAGCATAATTAACTTAAAATATATACATCTGCCGGCAGAATATGTTCGCTTTTATTATTCTGGTGCCTGCAGATCGGATTATTTAGATGAAAAACACCTACCAGCCACCGCGGTAAACCGCGAGGAGGCGACCCAGCCAGAGGCTGCTGATGAATGGATTCCTTCTGTCGGCGCGGTATGTGGGGGTCTGAGCGGCTCCGACAGAAATAACATTGGGAGGCAGGATTGTAATCTGGATGAACTGACTCCACTGATGAAGTTTTCAGGTGTATTTTCTCACTTAAAAACATATTAAAACTACTTTATTCCCACTGATCACAGCAAATATAGCTGCAAGGCAGAGAAAGGATAGTGAAGCTCCGCCCAACGCGCGTCAGAGCCACTTTTGGACCGTGCAGCGAGAGCAGCAAAGCTGCTTCAGACGCGCGTCAGAATTCACTGGTACAAGCAGCAAAAATGAAGCAGCAGACGCGATTTTGCTGCTTTTGCTGCCCCCGGTGTGAACGCAGCATTACTATTTGTTGAATAACCCTTATACCTTGCAAGCTTAGCTCTTTTGCTGACAATGACCTTTACCATCACAATTTTCTTTAAGTGCTATTCAACATTTTTACTGTTTTTTTAAGGCAAATTATCAATTTTAAAACAAATTTTTGATACATTTTTGTGGTATTAGCTTAAAGTGGTTCCCTAGCACTAAACAACATGTCACTGTAACTAGTTACTGTATGTGTAGAAAGGTAAGATTTTCAGCTACGTCTCGTCACTGTTGCTATAATACTTTAAGCACAATCCTTAAACACCTCAACTATGTTCCAAGAATAAAAAAAATAAATAAATAAAAATGTGAGTGCATAGGAAGGGTGTCTCTCTGATTAGATTCCAAACAACTACCTATTAGACATTTACCTGGACATCATGCATCTTACCAAGCAAATAAACAGAATAATATTTTCCTTATTAACTTCAATCCTTTTTCCCCCGCTTTTATTGTCATTACACTGTCACAAGTACAGAGCAATGAAATTCACTCTTTGCATTTAACCCATTCCCTTTGGGAAGAAGTGAGCTGCCATTGTGCAGCACCTGGGGAGCAGTGAGGGTCTTTGTTCAGGGAGTGGCAGTCTGTGAGAGTGGATCTTGAACTCAGAACCTCTTGATTTGAAGCCTAATGCCCTAACCACTAAGCTGACACTCCCCCAAATTCCCTACTTTGATTTAGTATGTGTTAATCACTAGAGCACACGTTTGGTGTCCTGTATCATATATGTAATAGCATTGCTATTTGGCAAGTTTCTGTGATATTAAGAGCTTCTTTTTGTAATTTTCATTTACTTATTTTTTTTTGTGTTGCTTTTAAACATTTTTCATGTATTTATTCATGGAATTTAATGTAATTACCATGAGCAATAAAAACAGGGCACAGCTAAAACTGGACCGTTATAAAAGATTATTTTATATTTGCCTCTTAATAATCAGGAGCAAATCAATATTCTGAGAGGTTTACAATAAAAATAAAATGTTCCAATCTGGAAAGTCATTAAAGACTCTACAAAAAAAGTTATAACAGCAACTTTAGTAGTTGTAACATTACGCAGCTATTAAGCACTGTGTCTCACAGGACCATTTGAGACAAAAATTTACTTGTATTTTATTTACTTGAGAGCTGTTTTATTGCAATCTGCAAACTTTTACTGGCTAATTAATAGAGTAATTAGTCCGTGAGGGATAGAGGAAAAAGCATACTTCTAATTAAAATCAATGAATGTAATGGTTTGTTCAAATAATATTTATAATTATATCATCCTATGTTGATTAATACTAGATTATTTTGCCTGTGAATGCAAAGAGAAGCCATTACTTTCACATATAGTACTTCAATCCTAAATCCTTTTTGTCCTTTTGAGTTGTTTACTGACAGAGGGATCACATCCAAATATTGACTGTGCCCAACTTCCTCTGTCTAATTCAATCAATTTCTGGCTGGTCCAGCAGCGCGCTGCACCTGACAGAAAAGGCAACAAGACGAGATTTAGAGCAGACAAAGGTGAGAAAGTGGTTGGATGAAAACAGAAGGTTTGAAGGTTGAGAGAGATATTCAGAGATACAAACAAAAGGAAATGCAGAAATTGTTTAATGTGGCAATCAGCAGAGATGGAGAATTGAATGATATGCAGAGAAGGAGAAAGAAAATTAGAGAGGAGGAGAGCAGGAGGAGCGGTTGTCCTTTTACACATCAATTAATACCAGAGTGAATGAGACAGTTTACTAAATAGGATTGGTGTTTGGAGCTTTAGCAGACTGGATGTTTCCACACCAGGACCTCCAAAGAGAGTAAATGAACTCAAGCTTACATATTTTTGTCTTTAAATATCATCATCACCCAAGACTACAACGTTTAATACTAATTTGGGGGGGGGGGGGGGGGGGGGGGGGGGAACAAAAACAAAATGCTTGTGAAGCTTTTTCTATCTGACTAGAAAATGACTCCTCTACTTTAACAAACCAGAATAAAACTCACGTTTTTAGATAACTCACAATTTCACTGTAAATGCACTAACTTACATACCTCTCCATGTTGGGGAAGGTATCCAGAAACATTTGGAGGAAATCCTGCTGAAAAAAAAAAAAAAAAAAAAAAAAAAAAAAAAAAAAAAAAACATGAAAAAATGAGAGGCATTAAGTGAGATGTGGGAGGAAGAGTATCAGAGACAGGAAGAAATACCTGCTGTTAAATCAAGTGTGCAAGGTCAGACTGTGTTTATGTTAGGTTCATTATTTAGTGAGATGATTCAATCTGCCACTGCAGAAGCAGGAACCAGATGGAATGAATCATACGCATACACGCTAACATACAGACTTCAAGATGTTGCTCATCTGCATGGTAACAGATTTCTGGGCTTTTACAATTTTGAATTTTCCATGTAAAATCCCAGCTCAAAAATAAAACCAAACCGTTCTGTCAAAATACTATTTAAGGTGTAATAGAAATCTTTTATTCTTTTTAATATTGTTTTTATTTGTGTCTACAATGGAATCAAAGACACAGAACTATATAGATCTACACCTACTGATACATGATAGATGTATCAGTAGGTCTTGAAAATGTGGGCATAATGACAAGAAAATGAAAAAGAAGATTTTTAGGCTGAAGTTTTCCCAGCACACAAGTAAAGAATTCTTTCGCACTCATCACCATAATTTTTAGGCAGTGACATAAGCAGATGCAAATGTAATGGCTGTAAAAAAAATAAATAAATAAATAATCTAAAAAGATGTTTATAGTTGCAGTTTTCTTGCACAGGAACCAGTAGCGGGCATTTTAAGTGAGTCTACACAATTTGTTCAAAAGTTCAACTGTAAACAACCTTTTTTGGGTTCCACACTAGCCTGGACATTAGCCTAAATAAAATGCCCTACCTAGTTTGCCTTCTCTACCCAAACAAAAGTAAAAATCTAAAAATGTTTTGTTGATAAATGTGTAGACATGATTTCCACATAAAGCAACTGCAAGGATCTCTTTGCACGCCAAAAACTCCATCAAAGAAGAGACATTTTGATGTGCTTTTTTAAATTGGTCTCTTTTTATATTGAATATCAAAAATATGGCCACCTCTTGGAAGAACAAATCAATCTTTTTCCAACCAAAATGTGTTATATGCAGAAGGAAGTAGGAAACCTTGCGTAAAAAAATTAAATCACAATTTTAAAACATCCATTTTGAAATGAGAAGGGTCCAAGACAGAAATATTTTTCTAAAATACTTTAGTCTCACCTGAGATAAAACAAGCTGACCATGATATTTCTTTACAAATAATCTGAAGAAGTCAATCAGCTGCAGATCTCCAACTTCACTGGCCAAGAACCTAAGAAGGAAGTAGCCCTAGACAAGAAGCGGAACACGACCATCACAAAAAATACAAAAAAAAACTTAATCGCAACCTGCATACGACAGTTTCTTTGGTAGTAGAATTGAAAAAATATTCTTGAATAACTCTTATCTTATGATATGCCAACACTACATTTCCAGTTCTTTGTTTATGCCTTTTTCCCCTATACACCCGTGATCTATTTTCTTATTTCCTTCCTGTGACTAACATGTTAGTCTCTTACCTTGAGGTAGTGAACTTGCATAAAGGATTTGTCGGGGTTAAGGGCATGTTTAACCAAGGAGGAGCCAGTGTCACTGACCTGACCAGTCCTCTCCATGTTTGGTCTAAAACAGAACAAACAAAAGGATTTAGAATAAACACACACAACAATTTTTAAATATATTGTTTTTATTTCCCACAGTAGCTGAGATGTTGGAAAGTACCGTAAGCAAACCCTCCTCTCTCCTAAACTGCCTTTTTTATTCATAGAGATAACAAATAAGCAGTAGCACCTAATAGCCACAACATAAAAAAATACCCCTTAAAATGGGTTATTTTGCCAGAACCCATGGAAAAGCTTAATATATGTTTATCTTTAAAGTGATTCATAGGCGTTGATTAATTCAGTAACTAAGTTAGCAAAAAATGTATCCACTGATAGCAGGCATGCATTAAGGCACTTTAATCGGAAAGAGAAGTAAAACAATGACAAGCAACAGCATCATTGAAGTTGGCCACAGACCAAACAATCTTGGAAGTACAACAAAAGAAATCTTGCCTTCAGCTAAAGGACTGACTAATCGTAATTGTGAAAGAGTACAATAAAGCATTTGTTTTGCTCCCTGTGTTTACTGTAGAGAGATTGTTCAGTCTGTTTGTCCAATGAAGGACAGACAGACCGGACGCGACCTTGTCTAGAAATCCACTTGATTTCAGAGATATTAAGTTCAAACCCTTACAGTGTTCTTCTGCAATAGAATCAATTATCAGTATTTTTACGAACCTTTGTACGTTTGTGCAAAATTAAGTTGGGACAAGAAGAGCCTGTTTACAAACTGTTCAAAGATGAGAGCATTAAAATATCCATAATCCCTTTATTTTGCTGAAGCATGATTGCTGCCCTAAAACTAAGAGACAAAGTACCTGAAAAATAGCCTTGCACCATCCCTACTTCTGCACTTTCACCCGGAAAATGCCAAACCCAATATCATCCGCTGGATTACCAGACTGAAGGCATGATTCATCGCTCTAAAGGAATGCCTCCAATAGAGTCCAGTGGCAGCATGCTTTATACCACTCCATCCCACACCTTTCATTCCACTTGGTATACAAACTTTGGTTTTATTCTCATGGCCAAGGAGGAACATTTGATGAGGCTTTTTGTGCACTGTTTTTGAGCCAATACAAAGGCACCTGAGGTTTTTGAAGTCTGTATTTATTCACATTAGGTGCCTTGCAGTGATGGGCAGTAGCGCCGCTACATGTAGCGAAGCTATTAGTTTAACTACATTTTCAAGTAGCTTGACCGTAGCGTCGCTGCTTTATTTATCAAGTAACTTTCCTGTAGCGACGTTATTGTTTTGATCAAGTAGCGACGTAGCGTCCACAAACGCTACAAAATCCAGGTCATAACTAAGAAATGAAACCAGGTTTTCTATTTCTAAACAACAATCAGCCACAAAACTACTGTAAATAGCAGTTTCAGCTGACGCTTTATAAGTGGCGTAGTAGCACAGGCACACTCAGTAGGGTTAAACAAGCGCACCCTTTCCGAGGCTGTCGTTCTATTGGCTGGAAAGGTTGCTAGGCAACGATCCAACTGCAGTCTGAGAGAGCAAAACAAATCCGCAAGCAGAGCCTATGGGTTTGCGAGCGTAACTGAGGCCCGTGCAGAGCGCGGTTTGTGCGCGAAGAGAAGGAGGCAAGCGAGAGGAGAAAATATCTGTGATAATATAGAAAATATCTATTTAAATCTGAGAGAAGAAACAAAGATTTTTGAGAGAAGAGAAAATATTTGAGAGAGAGCGCATGTTTTGAGTGTGAGCATTATAAGTTTTGAGTGCAAGAAGATGAAATTCTTTTCTCTAATTGAAGTTATGTGCTCTTGCATTATGGCAGGATAATTCTCCCATATCTATGTGCCACTAAGATACTCTAATTAGAGAGCAGTAATGAAACTTCGATATTGTATTTTCATGGCCTAGTTTACCTGACAGGATGTTTACATAAATCTGTTTTTAGGCTGTGCACAGAAATAAATAAATGCTCAATAAATAAATAAATAAGCATTCAATTAATTGCCTCCAAACATACAATGAATAAATATGTAGGTAGAAATTAAATTATATGGTGAGTCATATATATATGTATCTCTTAATTAGCTTCTTTATTTTTTCACCTTCTTTTGTAAACAGCTTTGTTTGTTACTTGAATCAACTGTTTAATTGAGGTCTTTTGTAGGGTTTTGTTTTCCCTAGAGATGTCCATTGAATGCAAACTCATAGCCATGTCTCCATGTGTAGAACACTACACAGTACCTTTAATTTGGTTCTAATAACAGCAGATTGTTTACTAGTTTGTCTACTAGTAATTACTTTAGTTTTTATTTTAATATGCTGATCATAAAGCAATGTTTACACTGTGTTATGTCATTGGCTGATCTTTAATAAATATTTTAACCAGTGTATCAGACTCATTTTGAATTGACATTAGGTTGGTACAACGTTAAGTAGCTTCTGATGTAGTTAAGCTACTTTTAACACATTAGTGTAACTTAGCTTGCTATAATTCTTTAGGTGGTAGCTTTTGTGTAGTGAAGCTTAATTTATTGTTGAGTAACTGATAGCTTAGCTCACTACAATGGACAAGTAGCTTGCCCAACACTGGTGCCTTGTTTGTATTTAACACAACTAATCACACACTTTGTGGCTGGGTTCTTGTTGTTCCCAATGACTTCCATTTTACACGTGGAATAATTACAGGAAAAGAAAGTTTACAACTGGACCTATTGTAAAGTTACAGTAGGCCCTTTTCCATTGCCACTTACAAGCCTGGAGCTTTTGAAACCCAGGTAGTGGGTAATTAATGCGACCTGGCCATTCAGACACAGGTTGCATTTGAAAAGATCAGATATGCATCAGATTCAGGACCACAATCCAAGTGGCCTAGGTCGCATTGGAAACAATCGGATCTGTGTTGTTCAGACAGCCATGAAAAGATCAGATACAGGTTGCATATGGGCAAAAAAATCGGATTGGGTCACTTCATGCTGCTGTGTAAACATAGCCAAAGAGTCAGAAATACTGAAAACAGAAAAGATCACGAGTTGGATGCTGTCTCTTGGCTAGGGGGCATCCGTCACACAAACAAATACCACAAAGTCTGCCACCTGCTGGACTGAATGTGTAGTCCAATTTCTCTCAGACTGAATGTCCTGCTTTTCAGGATGATGCAAAGCATGCTGATTAATGTCCCCAGGATTTTAATCACCTTTGTAATACCAATCCTTGGGCTTAAACTCCCGGGGCTTTCAATAAAAAAACGGGCTATAATTACATACTGTTGCAGAGCTGTTACACTGTCAAGGCATATTACAGAATTTTGAATCTTCCACATATTTCCTTTTTTGAAAAAAATAATATTTTTTTATTTTATTTTTAAGCAGAAATTAAAGGTAAATGTATGTCAGCATTATTTCAGACTTCTTGCGGTGAATATTCTGCTTTTGGGTCTTAGATATAATGACAGTTTAGGGACAATATGCAGAACTTACGTTCAAGACTTCACAGTCAGCAACACTCAATTCAGCAATTTCTCACTGGTGAACAGGGAGATTCCTAAGTTATCATGCACTGCCTAAAGCAAGCTGGAAATTAACAAAATAACAGAGTAATATAGACTTCATATAACTCATAGCTGCACTCTGACTTTACTCTTGAATACAGCAAATACAATATTTGTACAAATGAAGTAACCCTGATTACCAGAATGTATCATTCTCTGTCCCTTAAACACAAATCCTAACTAAAACACTCATAAGCAAACTAAAACTCACACATGAATCCAAACAAAAAAGAGCAGGACCGACATGGATGTTCAGTCATAGTTTCAGTTAGCTGGTATTGATAAGGATGGGCAGATTAACTCTGTGTACCAATAGGAAGGCCTTGAAGGATCAACCTCCCACTGTGTCAATACTGCAGGCGCCTAGACCAACGATCAATACTTCCTTCATCACTGGTTCATGCTTTTCAACAGTAACTCCTCATGACATGACCATGAGGATGCTTTGCACGAACATAGATGAGTGAGATCGACTATGCGAATCACAGATTCGAATAAACCAGGTATGGCTTAAGCTACAGTATAAGCAATGAGACAATGGTCAAACTTAGCTTCTGTATCTGCCACACGATGAGCTGAAGAGTGAGGAATGGGTGTAGATAAAGTGGATAAGAGTGACTGGCAGGATGAGGAGGTGGTTTGGGAGAAATCGAGGGCAGGCAGATAGGCAGGAATTTGCTAAACAGACTGAGAAAGGAAGTCATAAGCTTCCTGAAATTTCTAAATTTGACTGGACACTTACAAAAGCCTTCATCATACATCCGTGGATCTGTTTCTTCTAAAGGTGGAATTTTTGGAACATTTTGCCAATTTTCCTTAGAATTATTCTAGAGGACTGGATCTAAGTGAATAAAGTGGACTAGCTAACTTCACTGTTCACATTTTTATTTTCTAACATACAGGTACCGTAACCCTCAATACATTAGAATGTCATCACAAAGTTTAAGTATGTCAGCAATTATGTTAAAAAGGATAAAAAGTCATTAATATAAATAAGCTTTTAGCTTATTATAATTGCTCAGAATCTTTTGACAGTATTTTTTGTTCGGTTTCTTGTTCCAAGTGCCCATATCAGTCTGTTAGTAATGATAGGACAACATTCACAGACAACAGGGGATCCTATATCACTAGGTGAAAGTTTGTGTTTGAGTGTAAGAGAGAATAAGACTGATTTAGGTAAAAAAAAAAAAGACAAGTGACAGAACATGTATTTTCAGAGAAAATCCATCCTCTCTGTCCCCATTATTAAGAAGAAAAAGGTTGAATCTGCCACTGATGGATAACACAAATTGACTATGACATATAGACGTGTAAATCCCTTACTTTTTGTCTCTTTTTGTTACTTAGGATTAACTAAACCTTCAGGATAAATAAACTAGTCGCTGTGCTGAACAACCCACAATCCATCAATGTATTTCTGAATAAACAGTGGTCCTATCTGACTTGTAATCTGTGCAAAAGGGGAAGGCTGTTTGTATTTGTTGTCCAGCATGTACTTGGTGGGGTTGGGTTTGGGGAAAGAGAGAACGAGTGAGAGAGGAAATCGAGAGCTATTACTGACAGAACCTAATGTCAGACGCACACACTCGCACACAAACACAAAGAGGTTTATAGCTCCGCGAGCCATATCCTGACAAATTACGCTGGGTTGACTGTGGAAACCGGATAAGGTAGAGCAGCGCTTCCAGCAGCCCAGTAAATCAGCAGAGAGAATGGCGTCTGGCCCAGGCTGCCCTAAATATAACTCATCTGAAATGGTCTGATAAACACTGGCCACTGGGGCCCCAGTTGGATCATAGGCTGTCGATTGTGACCTAGTGAACTTGAAAAGAACAACCTGCCATCAGCTTTTGTGTGTTTGGTGTGTGAGCTTGGAGGATAGGGCTCTTTATCTCTTTCAGAACTGATTGGCTGTATCATTATTATCACAAGAGTGAAAGTAATGGTGCTCATCTTGTGTTTTTTTGTAAAACCTCTGTCTTGTTGTACATGGAAGTTGCTCTGACATAAAAAAAAAATTCCGACTAATTACAACTCATATTGCAGCACTGCCCCCCCCCCATTGTTCTACAAAACTGAAAATAATATCTCCTGCACATCTACAAGCACAAGGCAGACCTTATTACTGTTATCCAATCCATCAGACAGAGCGTGTTAGCTATCCTATAAATCTTTAATTAAAACAGCAAAATGTATTCCTAGGATGTTAATGTACTTCTAATGTCTTTATAATTCTAATGAGGCTTTACTGGAAGGAACCCAATGTAATTCTGTAGCAATTATAGGGAAAACGATTACATCCATAGTAAATATTCAGTAATTTGTCTTTTATTATTCATAATATTCTCTTACCATTAACAAAACAATGCCAGCACATATTGTGTTGTTGCCTTCTCAGTTGACCTGTAGATCTACAGGTTGCAAACCAATTAAATTGACAAATATGTACAATCCTTGATCTATCTTACTAGCACCTCATGGAGTTCTTTCTTCAAGGGCAGTGCAGGAAAACAAAACGAAAGGTTATTGAAAGTCACCGAACATAGTTTCAGAAGAACTTCAGACATTTGACATCACAGCTGAGCTGTTCTCAACTTTGCTTTATTACAAAAAAAAAAAGATACGTTTTGAATATTTAGAAGCTGGTAAGAATTCAAGAGTAGATATATTAAGCCACACTAGATGGAATTCACTGAAATTAAATGACTACCTCAGAGAGACCTGATTTAAAATAAACATTGTAGAAGCATACTGCATGCATTGGTTCTGTGGCCATGGACATAGAACTCACTGGAACACCTGAATCCAATCACTGGAGAAATTACTCAATACTCTGCTAATACTATCAGATCGTTAGTCTGGCATCTGTTCGCATCTGATTTGTTTGCCCGACCTGTCTTCTGACTTCTGCCAGATTTCTGCCTGCTTGTGTACCGTACCTGGAATTGTTTCCCGATTCCGTTCTAGATACTCCTTTGGCACCTCACCAAAGGAGAATCTAGAATCTAGAGAATCTATGTCTGACCTCCTCGCTCTGACAACCGACCACGTCTCCGACTTCGGCTTCACTCTCTGGATTATCTTTTCTACATTCGCCTGCTCGGTTCTGATCTCCTGCCTGTCTTCTGACCACCAATACATCAGCATCTGGGACTCTCTGTGCTGCTGGAACCATCCTCTACCTCTTGATTAGGAATAAACTATAAGACCAGGTTGGTGAATTGCAGGTTTGTGATCATTCACTTCCAGAAAGACGTTGTCACTAACCTGCTGTCTCCACCCACAGAGCTTCTTGTCTTAGCCACCAATGCCCCTTCCTCCGATTCTGTTGTCAATAAAAGTTCTAAGAAATCTAACTCTTTATCCCCTGTTGAATACTGGATCATTCTGTTCTGAGCTTGACATTATGTGTTTAGGTAAGACAATCATTTGATTTATTTTTCTCAAACCCATGCTTCAAGCATGAGGTCCTGTTATGCAATTAGTAGTTTGATAATAAAAGGAAAATAAACATATTTAGCCCTGAGATTACATTTTACACCTTTCATCCCAATGCACCAGAAATATCAATGTGATGTATACAACTGTGACACATCATAAGTAACACAAATACTTAAATGTTTCACAAGATGTTCTTCATCTTTATGTTCCGACCCAAGTAAAAAAACTTTGTTATATATTTAAACATAGCGAGCGAGATAAGAAACAACGTGACAAGTGCTTTGGTTACAAGTCTGTTTAACACTGCAGGAAGAGAAAAAGCTAATCCAACTTAATCATACGTCTGCCTTGTAGAGGAACACCCCTGTAGAGACAGACAGTTATCCTCATTGTTTATTTAATCCTTTCACTAAAACGTCATTTTACTTTTGAGGATTAGATCTGTATCTTATTTTAGTCATGAAATGCAGGCTAGGAATGCGCCAAATGACTGCAACATTAGCTGTAGTTTTTTTTTCCATAAGTTACCATAACCTGTATCTAATACCAACTCTAAACTGTTAAAACAGTGTCTTCTTAGTGATTTGTTACTCTGGCTTGCCTGCTCCTTTTCATCTGCTAGATAAACAAAAACACAAGATGGATGCATACTTCTATTTTTTTTTCCTAAGTTTGAGCATATATCTAAAATAAATATCTAGCTGTATAATGAAGTATTAAATGTGTTCCTATGCAGGAAACCTATGGCACCTTCACAATATTTGCTACCCCTAGTAATGATGTGTCCAAAAGCAATATTTTTTTTAATTTGTTTTATTCTAAAGGCCATTATTTTTACTGAACTCTAGCACTGAGCTTTGGAGATGTTTTACATCTCTCACTATAATCATCAGTTTAATTAGAAATATACAAAAGTGTTCAGCCTTCATATGATTAAACTTTTCATTAGTTTTGCTATTTGGGCAAAAAGGGGAAATTTAAGAGAGTATCTATTGTCTTGTAGTCATTTTCAGACCTACTAAGGTCAACAATCTTTTGTCCAGTTAAAACACTTGAAGTCATCTTGTCTTCTCCATTTTCGTAGGAGATAATTGCTAATAATAAAGTTTCTAGCCTTTCATCAACTTATAAAAAATCCATTAGGATTAGATCAGTTGATAGGAGATTTGATTTTATCAAACAGAGGATAACAGCAGTAAAAAAAATTAAACCAGCTTATGCTACTTCATAGCTTTTGCTGATGTTTATTAAGTGTTTTCTAAATAGGATGGTATCATATTATATAACATTAGCATTAAGGCTGTTTCCAAATTTCTTTACAAGGTTGCTAAAAACTTTTGATCCAGTAGTTTAACTCACAAGTATTAGATTTTATCCTCTTTTCCCTGGTAAAAAAAACAAATATTCACACCACAGTAATGCCTGCCGTATACTTCTAGATCTTATCACCATTTAGATATGAAAGAAGCTTGTGATTTGAACAAATCACAAGATTTGTAAATTCTGGACTACTAAATATAAAATATTAACTAATTCACTTTATGTAATTGGTCTGAGGGCTGGTAGGGGTTATTTTCTCATATGATGACAAGATTAATATCTAAGATGATGCAGTCAGAGTGAGCCCTACAGACGATTGAAATCCATACATAAAAAATATATGAAAATATATACACTGCAAAAAATATAAATCTCAATAAGTTATTTTTTCTTAAAATAAGTGTGTTTTTCCTTGATTTGAGGAGGTAAGTAAGACACTTTGCCAATGGAACAAGACAATTTCCTTTTAAAATAAGAAAAAACTATTTTATCGTCTTATTTCAAGTAAATATTATCTAACTATCTTATTTTAAGAGTGAAAATACTCATTCCATTGGCAAATCATCTTATTTACCTGCTCAAATTAAGGCTAAATATACTTAATTTAAGCCATTTTTTACTTATTTCTGGATTGTTTTTGCAGTGTATGAACTCAATCATACAAATTCTTATCATACTTTCAATTGCTTCTTACAACTATGAATGTCAGTTTGGGCAATGGTTTGTTATAAAGTGTAGAGGCTTTTTATTCAATATCACTCATCTTATTATGGATGTTTCTGGATGTTTACTCTTGAATAGGTTTTTAAAACTATAATCCCCCCTATGACAATTTCCTTCCACCCAGGATAAATCAAACAGGGTGTGGGTCCCATACTGCCAAGAGTCAGTGCATGCCTGCTGTCTCTGTGTATGCTGAGTTTTTCTGAGACATGATGTTGCACCACACCTCAATATATTTTCTAGCCACACCTGCTCCCCTTGAATGCATATGCAGCTTAAACTTTGACACAGAAAACAGACATGTTTTTTTTTTCTTTAGTACCTTAAAGTTTTGATGGAGAAAACTTTGTAGCTTGAACCAAATTACTCTGACTTTAAGTAAATTATTGCAAATTGCACCATTAAATCTTACATGTGTTTGGGGTCAAGTAAATGTTAACATTTCCTAGAATAAGCGCACTTTCTTTTGTACGGTTTCTACACAACAGAGCAACGATAAACAGAGGTACAAACCTGAGAATCTGAAGTTCCTCTTTTGAGTTTTGTAACTCATCATAAAGTCGCCTCCACCTTAGCAATGCCTGCAGGTCAAACTGCTCTGCTGTCTGTGGTAGAGGAAGCTCCAGAAAAAAAGAAAAAATAGGGAAGATGTAAAAAAAAAATAAACATTAGATTTTTACTGACAACGGTAAAAAGAAAGATGACTAAATCTAGAATGTTTCTGACTCTGGTAATGCAAAGGCAAAGTCTGTCAGAATTAATTTCCCATTGACAAAACTAACTTAATTTTTTGGCTAATAAGATTACAAATGCAGACTAGAAAGGAATCATACTGATATGGCACTACAGGAAATTCATATGAGGACTGGGCTTTCATGCATCTCAGCTCTTGGATTATAAGTCATAAAGTTTTGCAAAGCCGCACAGAGGGGACCCCTCCCTGGTTTTGTTGTACAGATTTTTTCCCCAATTCCTATTTTTGAGTGCTTTTTTACAACTGTAGGTTTAATGTTAGTTGATTTATGTTATGGTTGGAAGAGGAAATGCCTCCCCTCTTATGCTGCTTGGCCAGCTCCTCTGACGTTCAGCCATTTTTGCTCCTTGCTTCTTTCTTTCATGCACCATTTCCCTGTAGGATTGCTGAAAGATGGATTTTACTATGGTATGTTATTGACAGCAGCATTCAAAGTGTATCCCAACCAAGAACATAAAATGTGGAGATCATGAAATATTGTGAACATTTTTGAAAAGAAAAAATGTAATGTGAAACTTTGTTACTGCTGTTGCATTACGTCAATGGGAAACAATTAGAATCACAGAGTTGGATGTATGATGACAAACATGGTTGCATGTTTGCATTGATAGTCGGCACAACTGCCACATAGTCCAAAATGTTTTGATTAAATATGTTTCTAACGGACCAATTCTCAATAGCAGACCAAATACCAACATCTAAAATCAATTACCTCTAAACAACTTTCTGATGCTACAGCATTTTTAGAGTAGAATTATTAATCGTCCATCATGATTATTTTTTATTTTCATTACTTGTAAAAGAAATGTGCAAAGACAAGTGGTGCTGCCCTCTTTATCAAGTCAACTTTGTCTTTTAATATTAGCATGATACTCAGTAAGTCATTCAGTAATACAGCTAGTTTTTCACTGTAAAAAAATCCCAATGAACTGCAAATGAAACATTCCTTTAAATAAAATGTAACCTTAATTTGATACTGCAGATTTAGTTTGTTACTGTACAACATATTACTGAGTATATTCTTCTGGCTACAGGAAGCATAAAATACATCAATAGAAAATATTTAGGACATAACCAATGCAACTGTCGATGAGGGAACTATACTTGTTGTGCCTGGGTCCAGATAATATCCTCCAGGAAAGTAGCAAAGCCTTCACTGATCCACTCCTCTGTCCAGTCTCTGGCTCCAATAACAAGGCCAAACCAGGAGTGGGCAATCTCATGGCATATCCTGGAACCAGTCAGGGACAGCTTGTTCAGCTGGGAAGAAGGACATTCCTTGCACAACACACTCTGGGACAGGAAGATTATATGGGGGCTGTGGAAGACAAAGGACATGGAATCTGAGACTTAGATGTTTCATGATTGAGGACATTAAGGAAGTAAGAAAGACAAGTCAAATAAAATTACTGGTTATGGAGAAATACAACATAAAGACAGATAAGGACATAATGAAGCTCCCTCCAACACAATCAAAGAGTCGCTGAGCTACCGCTCCACACCTAGGATTACAGTAAATGAAGTCCTTGCACGTCATGCAGGAAAAATCCACGTGTGTGTTCCTACAAGCAAAAGATCAGCAAACTGCCCATTCTTTACACAGTTACACATAATTATATTTAGATGCTCAGGTCATACAGCAGGCATTCATGCCAAAGCCAACCGTTTTATAAAAAAAAAAAAAAAATAGGCAATTTACTGTAGGAAGCTTTAGCGCTTTTAGTCAGAAACATTAGTTTCTCCTGTAAAAATCTTAATACAGGTAAGATATTGACTCGTACACTCAAACAAACCACTGATTAGAGAATCTTTGTGGATATGTTTATGATCAGCTAACACAAACCGGTGCTTAACTGTGTAATGACATTTTTTCCCAATACAGATCTGAAGTGTGGCATGAATATCTATTTAGCTGACTGATTTAAATACATGAAAACCACCTTACCTGTGTCTCATTTTACTTTTTGCAACTATTTTTTTTCCCAAAAAACCTACAATTTGATTTTGTTCTCAACACATCTATATGCTTTTATCTAAATCCATACATTGTAGCTCTGTGTGATCGTTTAGGGTTGTTGTCCTGGTGGATGGTGAACCTCCAGCCTAGGCAGCTTCTCTTTATGCTTGAACAGTTTTCTTTCAATGATGTGTCTGCACTTAACTCTAAATATTTTCCCATTGCTCTGACTGACTCACATACCATAGCAACATGATGATGCCACCACTGTACTTTACAGTTAAAACTATCTGTTTTGTATTTCAGCAAAAAAAGCTCTGTTTACTGTATGTTTTATCTAACTTGAATGTCTTTATCCATATGTGTGCTATCACTCCTGCATAGCTTGTGGAAAATTTTAATCATAATTGTTTAAGGCATTGTTAGAAAAGTGACGCTATTATTGCCAGCCCTCTATGGTAAACAGATTTCTGTGTGTATATCTATTAATAACAGTCACGTCAACATATTCTGCCCATCTGAGCTGGACTTTGTTTACACATTTGTGGCTTTTTTACAGAAATACATTTTTTTTTTTGTAAAACAATCTTTTTAACTATTTGATTTTTAACTATTTGTAACTTCTTTATAACGGTCAGTTATATAACATCTCAATAAATTCAGTAATTCAATGAACAATACTGTAATGTAAGATTATCTTGCTAAATGTGAGATAGCTTATTCTTAAATGAAATAATCTTTTTATCCAGAAATCCAATAGATATTCTTGCCATCCACATTTCCTTTTTTGCATTTAAGGATTTGAAGTTGAGATTTGATCTGTTTAATGTCTGCACGCACCAAGATTTTTACTGCTGAGATAAGCACAGAACCACGTCCTATTGTTAGAAGAGTTCGTGTTAGGTTTCAGTGGAGGGAAAACTTTTATATTTTTACCTTAAGATCAACTACAATGACAATTATAAGTATTAATTGATGTAACTTATGTAGGCCAATACAAGTTTACTTCAAACAGATATAAGTACTTAAGGCAGTTTGGGTATTGATTAAATCTACGCATGATCAAATCACTAACTCTGTTACTAAATATATAAAATAAGGTTTTTAATTCCTGCAAAAATGAGAAGTTATTTTGCTCTGCTATGCTGGGAAAATGACAGGCAAAGGTGCTGACTGACAGCTATCAGTGATCCAGATTTAAGCCTACATGTAATGTGTTTTTCAGCTCCATTTTTCTGTCTCATCCTTATAAAACCAAACTTGGCAGACATTCTGTAATTTGGCCGTCATACAGCCAGGCATATATATAAAAAAAAAAAAATGAATCACCAAACAGTTTTAAAAAGTCAATAAGGATCTGTTAAGAACCTGTTTGGACAGAGTAAAACTGGGCTGACAAGCAATGATGTACAGTATGTACTGTAAGAGGTTTCCAAACCTTAAATCTCCTTGGGTTCAGCAGATTGAAAGTCCAATATAAGGATATATAATTTTAAGAGCAACAGTAATCCACAGAATAGCTATGCTACATCAGGAATAAAGTAGGAAACCGAGGGACTCAATCATCAATAATGAGACACCGGCCATAAAGCAATAACAGATGACATACTGTGCTTTGAAACATTGTGAAAATTCCACTTTCATATCATTCCTCATATGAATGCTTTTATTAGTTAATAATCCAGGCTCTAAGCTTTTATTTCTGAAATGTGCTTATAAAAACAGAGCTCTACTTTAACATCTATCAGCAGTTTTCTTTAATGCTTTTTTACATAACAAGCTCTGAACAGCCTGAGGGGTAAAGGGCCACCTTTCCATGAGACTTTCTTTAACGAAAGAATGGAAGAGAGGGGTCATCAAGGTGCAAATAAATGATCTCCTTCTCCCCAAGCTCATTAAATAAAATACTGTCCAGAGATCTTTTCATAATCTCCTTATTTTTCGGTGTCACAAGAAACATTGATATGACACATTCAAGAGAAATTATAGCAAGCTGCAGGTCTGTACGTTGTCTTATTTTCACTCAAATGGGTATTTTACCAAACTACAAAGATAGATTTAAAGAAGTGAAATCAAACACATTTTTAAGCAGCATCTTTTGGAACATGGCAACGAAGACAAGGCCATGAAAAACAAAACTTTTAGGTCGTCATAATCTAAATCAAGAAATTACAGTACTTGCAAAAAAGAAATAACTGATTTTCCATGTGATTGGCATTGACTAGCAACTGACTGTGCTGGCACTCTCCAGCAGGTATGCCGTTACTGAAGAAAGAAAGTTAAAGTTACCTGTTATAAGCTTGCATTATGCAGCTTCCTATAGAATTCATTTCAAGGACACAGACACAAGAATCTAAATGTTGAAAAACATAAACAGGGCTTTTCCTAGGCTTTTTAGATATGAGGGAGCAGCATGGGGGGTTGGGGGTGGCCTTCTAGGCTACAGCGTCTGGCAGTGTCCGCTGCTTCTGTTCAGTCTACCAACTGGTATCATCCTCGTTCTCTAGGAATGGACTGAACTGTCAAACCAGATGGCGCTGCTTCAGACACCCTAGCCATTGCAGTCGCTGCCACTGCAGATTCTGTCATTGTTTGAATAAATAATTTTTAAGTCCTCCACTGTCAGTCTTGCCTGAATTCTGGGTCCTACCTTCTGAGCCATTACAGCTTAACATATTTTAAAATTCTTGTTTCTATAATCTTTCTTAGTTTTTAAATAGTAGAGTCCTGGTCAATAGTGGCTACTCGTTTCTGCAACAGTAGTTTTCATATGTCAGGAAAGCTCGAAATAGCTACCTGAAGCACTTTTTTAAAGTGTTACACATGTTATATTGCAGTCAGTATCAAAACTGGGGATCAGCTAATGGTCACAGTACTGCCGCATCACTGCATCCCTAATTTAAACTCCTGAGACTTTTTTCATTTACCTTATACATACACCACTGCCAGTTAGAGTTAATCTATAAGGGAAATTAAGCTTACATATCCTTACTAATGATGAAAGCTATAAAAAGACTTTTTGTCATTAAGTTAAAATCAGCATCTTTAATAAGCATAGAAGCTCTCTTCCCCCCCAACATAACCTAATTACAGTGACAAGATAAGCTGATTATAGAAGAAAAGAAGTGAATAAAGAAGCAGGTCAGGTTGGGCCTACAGACCTGTTTGGAGGAAAAACAGAATCAGATATCTGAGGAACACCACTACCCTTTATTTCCCCCAGGACTCTTACATCAGACAAAAGGCAAGCTACAGCTTTTTGTTATTTAGAAACACGTCAAAATCGTAGAAAGAGGGTCTTATGGGCATTATTTCTAAGACAGCACCTCTTATCTAATTCCCTGTTTTTCCTCATTACACAAACAACAGCTCTCACTGGAGCACAGGATGCTAACATTAGCCTAATAAGTTCTCCTTTTTAAAAGCCTAATCTTCTCCCTGCACAATTGGATAGGCAGTTCTTTGTTGTCAGTTTCAGCAGCGTGTCTGGGTGCGTCTGTGTGTGCGAGGTAGCTAGTGTGAAACACAAAGACAGCTTTTCAGAGACGCCACTTGCACATGTTCCTCTGAGGGAGAAGGAATCCATCACTACAGTGACAAATCGTGTCATCCCACCACGCTGGTGATGAATAACAACAGCATCTTTCACGTTAGCTGACACACTGACTGGCTTTAGCTGACATCAGTGATCTGCCAGGGATACATGCATGACAACATCTTACAGATTCCTGCATACATATCACCACTATAAATATGCCTTTCATGATTATATAACCATGGTTTTTTTATACCATGATAAACACTCTACAATAACAGTCCTTTTATGAATCAATCCATAATTTAATGTTTAAAAACAACAATCTTCAGTGCTGAATTTGGTTATTCTGATTTTAAACTAGCTTCAAAGATGATTATTTGAACTACGAACAACATTTAAATCAAACACAATGTTTTCATACCATATAAAGCAGGATATATAACTACCAGCGATAAGTAGTGTTAGCAAATAGCTCTCTGCTGGCCTTCCCCAAAGTCTAAATGAACTGTGTTTACATCTCAAGATGGAAACTGTGAAAAAAATATATATATTTTGAGTACTTTTTTTTTTACCCGGAGGAAAACCAACTGTGTTACAGTTGCACCAGCACTAACTTTTTTTTTCTGAATGCATCTATAGCAACTGCAAGTTGCTATAAATTGTTGGAGGTGTTATTATTATTATCAATAAATAAATTTGACTTATATAAATCTGGTCAATTCGAATGGAGCTCATACAAACCAGTAAATACTGCAGTTTGTGTGTAGATTTCATAGTGGCACAATGCTTGTTTTGTTCAGGCTGAAACATCTGAGCTTTAACTGAAAGGTTTAATCTGCTGCAAAAATTATTTTTTTGGTTGTTGTTTAATTGATGTGATATGACAGAACCTTAGCAATAGTTTCTTCCATTATAGTATTGCCTTGCCTAGTTCTGATAGAAAGGGCAGTTGTTACATCCTAGAAATCATTTCCTACAAAATAGACTGGTGTGACAAGATATATTTGTAGTTCTTACAGGAAGGACTGGTATGACATCCATGATATAAGTTCCTACTAAGGGGCACGGTGTGACAAATAGATATCAGTACCTTCAGGAAGCACTAACGTCACATCACAGAGACTTTGCTCCTAATCCGCTCATTCTATTTACTCTGTATTTTCATTTGGGGCAAATCTGGTGATTTAGACATTTTACCCAAAGTGGATGTACTTTATTTTGCCACTGTATCTATTTTTCTCAGACTCATACTATTGTTGCTGAAATGCTGAGTAAATCCAGCTAAAACAGACAAGGAGTGTATCTCGCTGAGAGATACAGTATGTTAGCACTATTGCAGAGAACTTGTGCAGTCTGACCAGCCCCAAGCATTTTCAATGAGTTCTAATGCTATGTTCAGAACGCACGTTATAGAGGCAGCAAAAAAGCGCCTGCTGCTTCATTTTTTATGCTTGTACACATTAAGGTCTGACCTGCCTCGAGAGCATCCATGATGCTTCTGAAGCTCATCCAGTAAAGTGGTTCCAGATGCACCTGATGCTCCTGTGTTCAATGGCAGAGAGCGGCTTTGCTATATTTGCTGATACAAGTGAGTAAAAAATAGTTTAACAGTTTTTTAAGTCCACCTCAAAATTTCATCTGTGCAGTCAGTTCATCATGATTACAACCCTGCCTTCAAACAGTATTTCGCTGTCGGACCAGCACGAACCCCTGTACACCAGCAGTGCTCTGTCACTGGAAATACTCTTTAATGGCAGCCTCTTGCCCGGTCGCCTTTTGGGGTTTATCCGCTACTGTTCGTGGTGGCTGGAAGGAGATGATAGCGGTAATCCAAACTGCACACATCATAAAAGCTAACATATATTATGCTGGCAGGTTTTGACATTTTAAATTAATTTAGGCATCAATAAACTGTTTCAGGAGAGTGTTTATAATGATCTGCATCAGCAGTACTGTGTCTGTCTCCGTGCCACTTCCCAGATCAGCTTCTCTTATTGGTTGACGCGGCGCCTCGTGCAGCAAAAGTTAAATTTTTCCAACTCCAACAACTGCTGCTTATGAAGCAATTGCTCATGAGGCGCTGCTTCAGCTGCTCAGATGTGTCAAGATGTGCTGCTCCTGCTGCTTGAAACGCGCTGCAGGACCTTTTAATCCACTTGATGCACGTCAACCATTGCTATGGTCGGAACGTAGCATTAAGGACACAACCTCAGATTTTTCGGAAGCTAAATCGTACTTGGTGTGTTTGGGCTTCGAGGAAATGAGGAACAGGTATGAGATGAAAATACTGAGTGGAGAATTCAAGGCAGGTAAATAATGAGCACAGCAAACTAAACTAGACACAAACCCCAACAGAATTGCAAACCAAGGGAAAAATATAATAATTTTGGATGTAAAAAGAGAACTAAATAACAGAACAAGAGAAATAAGTGAAAATAAATTGAAAAGGATAAATAAGAAACTGAAAATTAAAGTAATAAATTCATGTTTGAAGGTGTACTGTATAAACAAGGAAACTATCAAAACACAAACATAAATGAAAACAAAATTTAAACTTTTACTTTTAAATTAGTATTTTTTTTTATTGGTCTAGTCTGAGCCTTCTTTTTCAAAGCTTGTGTACCTTATTTAAGTGGGAAATACAACATATTATTCATATCTCTCTTCCTTTCTCTACTCCGTGGGTGCAGGGCGATTTGCCTCCTGTTTTTAACAGGAGCTTTATGCCTTGTTGCATTTACCTCCTCCTCAGCTTTATGCAACCCCATGATGCAAAAAGTGGAGAACTAACTATTCAACAGGTGTCAGGATTGTATTTACACAAAAAAAACATTGTAGTTAGATTAAAGATGCTGATTTCTGGGCTTCCGTTTAGAATAGAAAATCCTTTTTTTGTCCCACAATGGGGAAGTTCTGGTGTTTACAGCATTACAGTATTATAGAAAAAAAATATGGATCTTACAAAATTGTATAAGAATATACATTAAAATACAAAAGGTAGGGTAAGAAGTTGTAGAAGAGGAACATGCTGCTTTTTTTACATGAGGAAATATGACTAAACTCTGCTATCTCCCATGTTATTAAACTGTGGATGCTCAGTATATTTGAATACTTTTAGGGGATACCTCAGCTATTTCAAGCAGGAAAGAACAGTACAATTTATCGTCAAAGATAAGAGCTTTCAGGCTGTTAGGCACAAATGTCTGTAGGGATCTGTTATTGATGTTTGCATTGTAGTTAATATATACCAAAGCTTCACACCTCAACCATCCAAACTGATAATGCTGTCATTACTACAACAAGGTTTTCTTGGTTTTGAGTGACTAGCCTTCTACAGGGGAGGATTCCAGCTATAGGTCTCCCGTTATGGCAATAAAGAAAAGAAAAAGAACTTTGCAATTCATCAACACACAGGTAAGTACAGCAGCAATCACATCAAAGTTTTGTCACCTTAATCTGCATGATATCTTCTATAAACAACAACAGCCTTTCAAAATATATCACAAATTTTAGTTTGATACCTTGGAGCTGGAAAATGTGTCAACTCATACAAATGCAATCAAAAGCATGGCTGACATTAACGGTGCATGAAATCAACACAAGTAACTTCAATCTTCATAAAAAAATGTTCATAACTTTTGTGATTATACATGGACTTGCCACTAATTGAATGACACCTCTGTCATGGCCCGAAGGGGTCTGCAGGAATATCGTATAAAACAAAAGTTCAACTTTTCTTATTTTCAACATCGTCACATCGTTTTGCCACAGTTAGGGTCATTACATCATCTCTATTCATCTTTAACACCACGACTGGAAACAAAAATGTAGTTCAAGCCAACTGCAGGGGAACAGGAGATCAGGATTTACCACACTATCCTCTGGTTCTCATGGGAAACGCTGTCTTCCTTTAGGGAAAACAATACAGCACCAAAATCAACCAAAACTGAAAGTTCTGTAGAACTGCTCTATTGATTCATGTTAAAGGCTGTGCCCGAATGTCCGCCCTAACCACTATATAGGGCACTATATAGTGGTTATGGCATTTTAAATGAGTGTCTGAACATATAGTGGATGAAAAATTAGGGGACTCGAAATTTCCCAAAAATGCACCTTGAAAGGTAGTGATCGTCAATAATGATAGGTAGATATATCCCAGAATGCTTTGCGAGGAGAGTTTTCCTCGCAAACTATTATAAGATTTGTTGTTACAATGGCAGCTATATTTCACCACAGGCTGTAACTATCCAACAGAGGCGACAAATAACAAAGAGGGCACAAGCACCATGCTGGGAGGCAGAGTCACATCACCAAGTATCGAAAAGTAGTGATAATCTGTCCAAATGATTCGTTAACTGAGTTCACTATAAAGTCCACTATATAGTCCCCGCTCTGTATAGTGATTAAGGAATTTACGGTTAGGGCAGAAGTTCAGACACAGCCAAAGACTTTTTTTTTAAAGAGAGAATAAAAAACATGAATACACACACACACAAACAGACATTACATTTTGCATATCCAGAAACATCGAATAAATTTTTAAACAAAAATCCACTGATAGGAAAAAGCATAAAATGGCTATTCCTCTGCTGCCAGAATGTCACTTGGTTTTCATACACAAAGTATAAACTGATAAAAACCCTAATGTACTTTCAAACATTACTACTTCACAGCTCACACTCACAGCGGGTAACTAGGCCCTGAGCTTCAGAGGTGTGACATAGGGCAAATCTTCAATTTAGTAAGAAACAGATTGCAATAGTGTGTTGCTGCTCCATCTCTCCATCCATTATTCATTCCTCAATCCATCGTTACTGGCTGCAGGCCATTTCTCCCCCAGTGGGACATGTCCATGCATAATGCAGCAGGGGCCCTATCATAGTCCTGTAAATGACATCCACAACCCTGCTCAGGCCAGTGCCAGGACACCAATAAAAACGTCCCACGAGGGAGAGATGGACATGGAAAAAGACGATGAGAGTGGTGTGTGTCTACTAGATGAGTAAGTCAAAGCTTAATAATACGCTGAACATCATAGTAAATACTGGACAGTACTAAAATATGTTAAGTGATTACAGGTAAATGCAATATGATATTTATTAATGGTAAATGATGATGAACATTCAAAGGAGGATGAATGCATCAAATTAAATATCCAACAGAGCCCTTCACATCATTATCTGTATATCATATGTGAAGATATACTCCCAATGTCTAGAAATGAGAGAAGGCGCCCTTAATGCTTCTTTTTCTTTCCTGCACACATTTATTTCAGGTACAGTACTATTTAAAATGAAACTGTAATAAAGTTATATACAAGACCTAAAAAGAACTTGTCCACTCCTTTCTATTCACAAAGGTTTTAGTGTCCTTTTAGTTTACGAGAATAGGCTTTGTCTCCCCTCACACTTGGCCAGAATCTGAGGGCTATTTTGGATACAGGACCTGATTTGACCAAACTCCTACCACCCTTCGTTCTGTTTTAACAAGTCTGACTTCAAATGTCTGGCATTCCAGACTGGCTACAGAGCGGTTCCCTGCTTCCAGACAGGGACCCACAGGGCTAGTCCAAATGCCACACCATATAGGGTCTGATCACATGCCCCTAGAGAGCTGCCCCACCCACACACCTCATAGCATCAGAGCCTGAAAATAAAAGATGTGAAGATATAAGCGAACAAGGGTGAGACTATGCTCTAAAAGTTTAGAGAAACTAAGGCCTTGTACTCCACCACAAGGCTAAACATGTTCTAGGAATCATTGATAACAGATCTAGATGGGTATAAGTCATCATTGGTACATTACTTCACCAAGTTGCAATAACTGTAAGATGAGTGTTACAGAATACCCAAACACAAACATGTGCGTTGAGCCAAAACCTACTTTCAATTTTAGTCAGCTGTGGGGTTTGGAAAAAAAAAAACATTTACAGGATACAGATGGAATTTCCAAGTGAATGAATGTATGCAGGGTGCTAAACAAACTCTTTTTTAAAGCAGTACCTACTATTATTTCTGGGATCCCTCATTTTTTTCTCCTCTGGTTTGCCTTAGGTGAAAAAAATGCTCTTTCAAAGATTGTTACAGATTCATTGTGACTTTTTTGACATTAATGATTCTAGCCCTTAAAAAAAATTCTATCACTTTTTTAGATATAGGATATCCATCCATCCATCCAACCAAATCCACCCCATCCATCCATCCATCCATCCATCCATCCATCCATCCATCCATCCATCCATCCATCCATCCATCCATTCATCCATCCATCATAGCAGGAGTATCAGATTTAGAGATAACCCAGATATCCATCTCCAGCGAATTCTTGGTCTTCCTCCATATCTACCATACTTATCCTGTGATATACTTATCCTTATAAAGGTTTTAATAGTTTAGAAAATGTTGGTAGTTTTTATTATCATTTAGTTTTTCTTCTAATTTTATATTCTATTTTAGTTTGGATCCGCATCAGCCATGGACACATGAACGATATGCAAGGCCCAGGGGGCCAGGACAAGGAGCAGACTGACTGAACTCAAATATTAAGGGAGGTACATCAAAGAGTAATGAAAGGACAAGAGGACCAGCGAACTCTAGCTACACGTCAAAAGAATGCAACTCCAAGGAGCGACCAGCAGATGGACGACCGAGAGGACCAGATGTGATGAAAGCATCACAGGGGGAATGGGATCCTTCTCCAATTGAATTAGATAAGTCAAACACTACATACTACAACAGGATTGGAATAATATGAATATTATTTTCTATGATAAGTTGATATTTGCTGATACGAACACTAATTGTGGTTTTTCTGTCTTACTCATTTTGAGGGGATGGATTGTAAAGACCTGTGACCCCAGGCATAAGACTGCAAGCCTTCGACTTCCGCCTGAAAAATACTAAAGGCGGGAACCGCTGATCCTGTGTTCATGTCTTTAAAAGCCAAGGACAGAGCCCTGAAGTGAAAGAACTATATTTTTGATTTTTTTCAACAGGAAAGAAGACAACACATCGATTATTCTTGTATTCTGTAAATATAAACCTGATGATTGTAACATGCCGTTGCTTTGCATTATAACCTGTATTACTGTTTTATTATTTCACATTGTAAACCATCCATAGCAGGCTGTTTAGAGGAGTACTGACTGACTGACTTCTGACTGACTTTTATTATTAATTATGATACTTAGTAATGGTTAGTTAATGGTTTAATTTAAAGGTTTGTATCCCCCAACTTCCATCCATATCAGGCTGTGTCCGTAACGTTAATATTTCGGGGTTTTTTTTCACTTAAACTTCACACACATGTAAGTGCACTTAGTCGCGTAGTATTCACATCACCATGTAACATCACAAAGTATTTCATCTGCAATGAACTACAGGGGGGAATGTAGTAGCAGTTTGATTGTCTTATATCAGAAATCAGAATATATCCTACAACATGGCCCTATACTTACTTAGCAACAAAACAGTACATCTTCAAGTATGAGTCTTAGCAATAATAAAGTCTCTAATGCTGTAGAATATAAATATCTGGCTGGCTTGCCAAATATGGAAGCAGTTGTACTGCGTTGTTTAGTCCTGTTTCTGACCTTATGCCCACTTAGCAACACAGAGAATGCAACATGTAAACACAGAGCAAGCAGGCTGGAAGTCACGTACAAGTCTTGGCAAAAACAGGGTCTTTAAGGCCCACTCGCACGCAATCGGGTCACAGGACAAGAACTTCCAGGAAGTTCTTCAGAGCGTCCAGTCGTGCACGTGCATCCACACAGTGCATTGGGGAGCCTATAAAAGGCCGCCCACAATGGATTGAAGGTGGGGAAAAATTACAGATGTGAGGACATAGCGCTGAATGTATGAAGTGTTTAAGACAGCTGTATGAATTCGGTTTTGTAAATAAATGTTTCCCCCCTCCGGATGACAATGGAGTGAATTGAGGCCTTCTTTGAGGCCTTCTTCGTCATAAGGGAATTCTACCAATGAGCTTCCACAAATTCAGTTGTAGTACTTAATTTAAGTACTTAGTTTTTTTTTTTTTTAATCTTATGTGACCAGCAGAGGAGGTAGATCTTTTTAGGCAAGACGCACCAGAGCACGGAGTAGTCTCCAATGATTTATTAACAAATTTCATTAAAACATTTTTCTTTTAAAACATGGCCTCGGGCCCACTACTCAGCCCCTAGAAGGAAAAGGCATCAAAAATAAGGACAATTTAAATTATTCCCAAAAAAATGAATGAACAAACAAATCATGCAATGCAAAAGAAAACAAATTAGTAAATCAAAACAAAGGAAAGCAAACAAATTAGTAATTTAAATAATAAGCAAACAAACGGCAAAGAAAAGAACACAACCACTGCAAACGATGGGACAAACTGTCGTTGTCCGACTTCTAATGTCTTTTCACGGGGCCAGAGGAGTCGTGCCCCGCTCGTTCCGCCAGCCCAAGCGTCAGCAGGCTCCGCCGAGAGCGGCCCAAACAAAACCGGCAAGACAGACAAGACAGCAGGAGCGTCCAAGCGCTGCAACTCCGGAAGAATCCTAAATTAGAAAACTCGTTAACGGTGGATTCAGGTAAGAGTAAATTAAATTCTAAACCGGTAGCTTACCCAGATGTGGTGACACAGCCGACCAGGGAGGGAGCGGATCAGCAGGCGAGGGCCGGACGGAAGCCGCTCGCCGCACCAACCTCCAACTGCAGCCGCCAACGCCAGCCGCGCAACGCTGCAGAAACGCACGGCAGGTATTGCACCAGAACCCGACAACAATCCCCAGCCCAGATGGCAAAATGGCACCTACTATTTTGGATGAGTGGATCGAGCACACCAGCCACTTGGGCAGCCGACACACGGTAAGGAAACAAAGCACACGCACCTCGCAGCGGACTGCTCAGCTTTAAAGCTATCTGCCCTGCCCCCCAATCAGTCACTACACCTGGTGTAACACCATCCCACCACACTTAGTTTCGGTTTGGTTTTTATTACTTTCACTTATAGTTTTAGTCTTTTATGTGACAAAATTTTCATGCAGTGGGTGAGACAAAAATAAATGAATAGAATCTCAAATAAGCACAGGCCGCTGCACAAAACGACCCAACTGCAGTACCTGCCTTCTGCGCACGTAATGCCATACAGCGAACAAAAGCGAAAACAGCAACCAGAAACTAGACATACTATGAATGCATGATAAAGACACAAACAAAGGCACATTCTCTTTTAAAAGTCAGTTGGGGCCTTGCTGGGGCTCCTGTCTGGGGGTCGGGCGCCCCTGGGGCCTCGGATCCCTGGGGCCCGGGATTGGATTCACTTCGGGGTGGAGCTGGGTGTTGTTCGGGGATTTTCGGTTCCGGTGCCAGTGCCTTCGCTTCGATGCCGGTTCCTGGGCGATGCTTTTTCCGATGCCGGTTCTGTGATATTGGTTCGGGGGGGAGGGGAGCTGCACGGCATGGTGGGGTGCAGGTCTTGGGTCTTGTTTTGGGCTCTGGTTTTTCCGCTTGCATTTCTCCTCTTGCATAGGGGAATTTTTATTTATTTAAATGTTAATTATTAATTAATTTATTTATTTATTTACTTTTTACTTTTTTTTTTTTCGGTGGCGGAGAGCAGTTGCGGGCGCGTCGGTGTCTGGTGTCCACTGTCGCATTGTGGGGGCTTTTCTGCTTGCCGTTTTTTTTTTTTTTTTGGGGGGGGGGATTGGCATGTCTGTTTTCTCGGGGAGCGGGCGGGCCCATTGGGTGGGGGTCCTGCTGGCGGCGCGCTGCTGGTGTGTGCGGGTCTGGGCGGCTCCGGCGGGGGTGGTGTTGGGGGGCCGGTGTGGATGGGCTGGCTGCGCTGATTGGGTCTTCGGGTGGGTTTTCCCTCTTGGAGGTATGGTGGACCTGTTTTGTTCCCGCTGATCGCGGCGGGTGTGGGTGCGGGGCGGGTGGGGTGGCTCTGGCTGGCGTGCGTCGGGGGGCCGGGGCGGCGAAGTGGCTTCGGCCGCGTGTCGGGGGCTGGTGCGGGCGACGGGGGGCCTCGGACGCGGCTGTGCTGCTCTGGCTTCGTCCGGTGGGGGAGCGGCGTGGTGGTTCGCTCTGGCTTTGTGCTGCCCGCGTGCTGCTTGGGGTGGGTGCTTTTGGATTGATTCTGTGCGCGGTGTGTTGCATTGCGCTGTGTTGGCATCGGTCTTGGTGGGGTGGGGCCACGCTTTGGCCTGGGGGGCGTTTTTGGGGGGGTTCCGCGGTGCTCGCGGCGGATGCGCGTGGGCCCCGGCCGTGGCCGCCTGTGTGTTTTTCCTGGGTGGTGCAGTCGCGTTGGGTGTTGCGGCCAGTCGCCGGGGTTGGAGCCGGGAGGCGGGGCGTGTTTCGGTGCTCTGTGGGGCCGGGGCGTTTCGGTCGGTGCCGTGGGGGGGGCGGTGTTCGGTGCCCGGCCCTACTTCAGGGTGGCCGGCTTCCGGCGGAGCCCGCGGACTCATCCCCGCCGCTCCCCGGGGCGCCGGCATGGCGGTGGCTGGGGGGCTCTTCGGGGCTGTCTCTCCTCCTCCCTTGGTGGGGGTCTGATTTCCAGGGCTGGCCCCTCCTTGGTGCCTTCGCTCTTTGGGTCCCTTTGGGTGCCTGGGGCTTTGGGTCTTTTAAATTTTACATGCACAAGTTCACCCTCACAAACAATCACAGGTGCTTGGTTCCAGGTACTTAGAGATTCACTTCCATACAGAAACCCCACATTCATATCTTCAGGTAACACAGAGTACATGTCAGACTTAATAATATTACTTTAGCGATAGTTTCAAGGTGTTGCTTTATTGTATTTCTCGTACCATGTCTTTTGGTTGTGCTGTTCTTTTTTTTCATCTCGTTACATGTGATGAAGCAGACTGAAAATGTTTTGTCGTTGTCTCCTTTCTATCTCTTCTTTCTTTCATCTTTTCTCTTTTTTTTTACTTTCTTCTTCTGTTTTTCTGCTCTATTTACATTGCAGTGTCCATATAAACTGTAAAACTCCCTGCATAATTATAATAAAGCAATTTATATACATGAAACAAGTGGAGCAATATGGCAATTGCCATACTGCTACACTTGTGAAAGTAAAATATGTTTGGGCTCTTTTAGGCAGCAAGACAATTATTCTTATTGCCACATTGCCAGACAGGACACTGTTAAAAAAAAAAAGTCAGTTGGTTTTGATTTGTTTTGTAAACTCTTATTACTTGCTTTTACCCAAGATCTCGCTCTTTCAGTCATTCAGTCCATATGTTATATCTATAGTTAGGAGTTGGACATAGATAGTCTGGTGAATCATGAGTTTTACTTTTTGGCTTCTTTAGCACAGCAGACCATTACAGTACCCGCATTACTGCCGACAAAGCTCAAACGCTCTGTCCAACTCCTTTTCCATTCTACTAATACCCATTATCAAGGCTCCAAAATACTAAAACTCTTCCACTTGAGGGAGAGACTGATCCCCATACCAGAGGGGGGAAAAAACCTACCTTCTTCCAGCCAAAACCAATGACCTCAAACTTACAGGAGCTTACGCTCATCCCTGCCTCTTCACACTCAACTGTGCACTGATTCCGAGGCCAAAGCACCACATTATCTGCAAAGAACTAAGATAAGAATTCTGAATTTTTAAAAATGTCTTTTAGCACTTCTTAATAATCCCCATTTAAACATTATACCTTTGTATTTTTTTTTACTTCATGAATGCAATATTTAACTTCAGCCATCAGCATAAATAACAAACTGTCATTAATTTTACTATTCTTACTTAAATTCTGGTTTAATAGTATCTCTTTCAAAATATTTAATCAATACCATTCAAATTATCTGAGCTTTTTTAGTGTTACCAATACAGGTAGGATTACAATACCTAAAAATAATTAATGGAAACCAGTGCAATAATGATTTTTTAAGATAACACTAATAATTACAGTAAGACACCACCAACAAAAATAACTACAATGGTAGAGCATGAAAAAAATGCAACTATAAGCTCAGAAATACAGATGCGACACAAAATGCTATTTTTATTCAGGCTTTTGGGAATAAAAAGGAAAAAAATAAATAAAACCTCATGTAAGCTTTAAATGCACAAAATCATGCCAAACATTGTGCCGTGAGTATTAGCGTAGCAAATTAACAGAAGGGTTGAACAAAAACCAAAAAGTGATACCACACTTCAGTGTAAAATATCAAATCTAAGAGCACACATATATTCAGACCAAGCCCTCCACTGTCCTAACACAGCACATTTTAATAGGAATAATTTGAAAAGAATGTGCCTTAATGAGTACTAATCCAGTGCAGTATGAGTAGATTTGGCAACAGCAAGGCCCCCATCAATCAGCCTAAAGGAGATGTAGACATGGCATTTATTTCTCATAACCCAAATTCCTCTATCACTGCTGCTATTAGCATGCAAACCCCATCACTCACCATACAACACTCAGGGCCCTCTTTGGTTTCCACTATACTGCCTAATAAAAAGGAGTGAACAAAATCTATTTCACAGGATTATAATTTGAGACACTTTCTTGCCTTTAGGGTAATAAATAGACTATTTTTCTCTCTCTTATGTAACATGAGAGAATGAGACAGTGAGGAGATGGAAACTGCAATGTCTCGGTGCAGGGAGGCTTTATGAAAAGAGTTTGACAGAATGGAAAGACGGATGATGACGGGATCGAAGTGAAATTAGCCAGGGAGCAGAGTCATCGCCTCAGACAGAGGACCCAGGCTTCCAACAGACTGGGTTGCCTGTTGCTTAAACCTGAGCTGTGGCTGATGTACAGATGGGTAACTAACTAACACTGTAATCAGTAGTCTTATGAAAATAAGAAAATAATAATACAGTCGATGCAGTAAAAATATTCCTCTAAAGAGTTGAAATATATATTACTGAAACTGAACTAAAGATGCTTGGACTAGAGAAAAATATTTCAATAAAA